GATTACAAGTAATTGATTACTGTAATCAAAATTGTAATCATGATTACAGCTGTAATCAAAATTTTTTGAAAATTGTAATCATGATTACAAGTAATTGATTACTGTAATCGACTATGTAATCATGATTACAGCTGTAATCAAACTTTGTAATCACGATTACAAGTAATTGATTACTGTAATCAATATTGTAATCATGATTACAGCTGTAATCAAAATTTTTGAAAATTGTAATCATGATTACAAGTAATTGATTACTGTAATCAAAAAATGTAATCGATTACATTTTTGGCCAACTCTGGTAATTAATAATTATTGAACGTTACCCTTAAATATTAATGGTTAATTGGGTTAACATTATTATCTCTTTTTACAAAAAACGTGGTCATTATCCTCTTACTATTTTTGTTTTATCGTAAAGAGTATGTTAGAAGTATTTACTTGAGTTTTTTTTTCTCGGTGAATATTAGACTTTATGGGAGCAAAAACATGTTCATTTATTGTTCTTATGTTCTTGTAATAAAGCATTTATGAGGGTTTCTGCCCGCATTGAACAATGTTGACAAAGTCACAGGTGTGTTTATTCAGATCATGATGGTCTGAATCATTTAAGTGTAGATAAAAAGAGAAATGCTTGAAAATATTCGGTAATTCAAAGCTATCACCTTATTTAGATTGATTTCTTGATGAATTAAAAATTAATTTTTCATTTTCAAATAGATTTAAGAACACTGCTATGCTAAACATTCAAACAATTATTTTGAAATCGGATGACCAGCAATTGTGGATAAATAAATATTTTATGAATTTGTTCATATTTATTTGCTTTTAAATGATAAATCATATTTATTTTAAAAATGTTTTTAGAAAGAAGAGTTTTTTTTTTAAAACACGATATTGTAATTATTATTTATTAAATTTTATTCAGCAAATGTAAGAAACAGAATTTTGATCTAATTTTTTTAAAAAAAATAATATTTATGAAACTTTTTTATAAATTTTTTTATATTTATTGTCAACTAAATGAATAAAACATATTTATTTGAAATATTTTTCCAGAAAGAATGTTTTTTTTTTAAATACGATATTGTTAATTGTTTTATTAAATTTTATTTAACAAGCGTAAGAGCCAAAGATTTGATATCATTTTTAAAAAATGATGTTCGTTAAAATTTCAGGCATATTTTTCACTATATGAATAAAACATATTTATTTGAAATATTTTTCCAGAAAGATTTTTTTTTAAAATCCGATGTTACTATAATTGTTTTATTAAATTTTATTCAAGAAATATAACAGATGTATCAATGTATTGTACATATCGACTTTCATTAATATCGGTTCAGTAGTTCTAGAGATAATCGACCAAGTTTGCAAATTCTCTTAAATTCTTGCACCAGTGTATAAGGTTCAGAAACTTGAGATTACGAAGGTTAGTAGAAACCTGTACAGGAAAGCATTTAACATTCGTTCATTAGTTCCAGAAATATACCATGCGGGTAGCTCTACAGTCCGAAGAAATGCAATTACAGAGCTGAAATTTAGTGTGCGGAAAAGGATATATTGTTTATGAACTGTATACAGAATTTTTTTTAAAGATCCAATTTGTTCGAAAGTTATTGCAGTTTTGAGTGATTTTTTCTCACGTTTTTTTTTTTGAAATTTACGTAACGTTTTGCTTTGCTGCACCAAATCTATATGACTTAGAAACTTAAAATTACGATGGTGCAAGAAAAATTCACAAAAAATTCGAAGGATTAAAAAAAAATTGCATTCGATTTAGTTTAACAAAATTACCAACTGTAGCGTATCTACCACTGTAAAATTACAACTACAATTCACTAGTATATAAGACATGTTAACTCGACTCTATGTCGGGGTACCTTTACATAGATGACGGTTGACATGGTCTGTAGCTACCATCCCCCACACCAACTATTTATCTTTTAATGAAAAAATACCATGTTTGGTTGTAATGAAAACTGCTGAAATTCAATTACGGACTTAACATTTGACGCGTTGAAAGTTTGATTTATGAATTTAATGAGATTTCATTTAGAAATTTCAATTGGTCCGAAAGTTATTGTAGAAAATTTTATGTCTTTCGCTCTAGATTTTCATCTTAAAAACTCGCGCTTAACTTGATATCAAAAGTAACAATAAATAAATAAAAATAAAAAAAAAATAAACGAAAGAGATAAGATGTTGCCAGTTATAAATCTTAACATTTATATCTAAATTTTTAAGAGAAAGATAAAAATCGTCTCTAATTTAAACTGTTACATGGAATAAGGTTATGTTATGTAATGTTAGTAATTAAAGTCACTTGTTATTCTGTCTTCAACTTAGGAATACACATTCTGTATTCCTAAGTTTAAATATATTTTTTTTAAAAGTACAGTTGAATATTTCTTACATTTAGATAATCATTGATTTCGTTATGATTTTACTAACAAAATTATTTTGCATACAATTCTAATAAAATTAAATTTTAATATATATAAGTAAAATGATATTTTTTTAAAGAAAAATATCGATTTTAAGGGGGGGGGGAAATGCGGAGAAATTACGGTGAGTATCCTCTAAATGTAAATAAATTAAAATCGTGCAGTTCTCCATAAATCACTAATCCCTTTACAAATTACTCTTTAAATTTTACAAATTACTGAATTTTCCTTTTTAAGTTGATAAAATAAGGGTTGTTGTTTTTTTAGTTAGAAGAGAGCATGGCCTGAAGAAATGACACAACGATTAGCAGTTGGAGCTGGCTTCATCTTCTGTTTTGTTGTGGCTTTGCTCATGATCATTATGTATTATCCCAGAGATGCATATGAGGAAGAATGTAAGTCATTTGAAATATTTTAACTATTCAGAGTAAATTAAACTATCTAACCAACTTTACACGCAGTCACTCCTTAGAAATATGAAATAGCTAATTTGCGTTGTATGTATCATTCTGTTAGCCCGAGAATAGAATAATGGCAGAAAAAGGTGATTTTAACTTAGAAATACGTTGCTGAGAAGAAACACATAAAAGCGTTGAACTATTTAAAAAAATACTTGTGTTGCATACATTATTCGGAGACCCGAGATTTGAATAATAGCAGAAAAGTAAATTTTTACTTAGAAATACGTTGCTTTGAAGAAACACATAAATGCGTTGAATTATTCAAAAGAATATTTTCGTTTCATACATCATCACGAGACCCGAGAATAGATTATAGCAGAAAAGTCTATCTTTAAAAATACGCTGCTTAAAAGAAACACATAAATGTGTAGAATTATTTTTTAAAAAAATGCGTTACATACATTATCTTGAGACCGTAAATTTGAAAAATGACAGAAAAGTTAGCTTTTACTTCGAAATATGTTGCGTAAAAGAAACAAAAATTATTTAAAAAAAAACAATTGCGCTGCATACGTTATCACGGGACGCGAGATTAGAATAAAGGAAGAAAAAAAAGCGATTTTTACCTACATTTACGTTGCTTAGAAGAAACAAATATATGCGTTCAATTATTTTAAAGTAATTGCGTGACATATATCTTATTGAGTTCCGAGATATGAATAATGGCAGAAAAAGGCGATTTTTACATAAAAATACATTGGTTAGGAGAAACACACAAATGCGTTAATTTTTTAATTTTTTTCTTTAAAAAAAATTGTGTCACATATATAATTTTGAGATCCGAGATTTGAATAATGGCATAAAAAGGCGAGTTTCACTTAGAAATTCGTTGCCTAGGACAGACACATAAATGCGTTGAATTATTTTTTAAAAAAATAATTAATTTAATTTAATTAATTTCTTTATCTTAAGTTATTTTTAATTATTATGTAACAATGATACACTTTAATTTTTAGTATTTAGCATATATTTTAACACAATTTGTATTTTTTCACATTTTGTTCATGGAACAAAATCCACTGGACTCAAATAACAAGATATACATAATGTCATAAAACTATCCGAAAGGTTACTTGAATTAAATTTTCTATTTTTCTCATAAATTTTAATTTCAATTAAAAACTTTGACCAATGAGGATTCCGACCAATCCGATTGCATTTTTACATTAACAATCACTTTGTAAAGGTGCGCAAAACGAAAACAACAACTTACAATGCTATTTAAATAATTAAATTGTACCAAATTTTGTTAAATATATTGGACGCTGATTTGCTAAAAAGTTGAATTCTGCAGAAAAGCGTGAAGCTTTATTGTTACAGAAAGAAACCAACAACATCCCTTGGAGCCACATACAGAATCTACAAAACTAGCTATCAAGTCACTCTTTAAAAGTATAAAATACATGAAATTATAAAAAGAGACACATAAAACATTAAATAAGAATAACAGTGATGATGAGAAAAAAATACTATGTTTCAGAATGTATTGTTTTTGTTGAATGATTTTGTTTTCTCCCGATGTTATTTCTTGTTACAGTTGGTTATACTTCTCAATTACCATGTTTATTAAATTTCAGGATGACCAAGTAAAGCTTTAGGATTAAAAACATTGTTAAATTAGGAAAAAAGGGTTAAATATTTTTATTATTTTTTTCTTATTGTTTATTTTTCCTTAAATATTCCTTAAACACAGTTTTTTAAGCATATGACTTAATGATAAAGTTATTATTTTTTTTAATTTTGAAATTATGTTCAGTTTGGTTAAATCATGATATATAAAATATATATTGCAATGTTAACGTTATATTTCTAAGTTGTAATGGGTTTGGCGTAAACTTTTCAGTTTTTGCTTTTTTTTGTACATTGATTATCGATGTACAGTGTGCAAAAAAGTTACTACCAACCTGAGTAACTGTTGATCTAATCATCGGATCTTTACGTTCTAGGACTCAATCGAATTGGTTTGAAAGGGTGACCTCAAATATGCTAATTTATTAGTGCGGACGATATTTTAAGTTACGAAATCAGACACACAAAAAATCAAACAAATAAAATTATCAGACAAAAATAAATATAAATTGAAAGTTAATTAAAATTGAAATATTTTTGAATATACGTGTTTATTCAAAAATGAATGCATACTTTGAGTGCAAACTTTTTTCAATTCGCTTAAAAAGTTTTCGCAATTTGGCGAAATACGCAAAAAGTGTAATAAACATTATGGGGTTCAAACTTTGGATCGCTTTCCTGACAAAGCTAATGTTACCCTACTTCTTAAATTCCGGCTATTTCTTATATTTCGGGGGACAGAAATCCGAATCCAAACTAAGCGAGTAGACACCATGCCACAGAGAAAAAGATTTCAAAAATGAGACACCATATCATAGAGAATGCGATTTTAAACAACGAGACAACATATGGCAAGGAATGTAATTTTAAAGAAAGTAAAGATGTAATTTAAATCGTGGGTAATAGAATTAGAAACGCTTGACAACTATATAAAAAATTGTTTTTAAAGGTTTCAGTAAGATATGAAATTTCTCACTGTTGCTTCAGGATGTATTCTAGAAACTAGCACAAAGACGGCGAGCCTATGACACGGGTGCCACTTGGTGGCACGTGTATTTATGTGGCACGCAAGAGTTATTTTAAATTACTCTACTTACTAGATTTAAACAATCAGTTCAGTGGATTCAGAAACAAGTACGATTTTGAAATTGTTAACCATTATGAAATTTTCATAAAGGAGACTGGCCCATACTAGTTTGTAAGAAAAGCTGGTTTTTAATTGGAAAGTACGTAAATGCGAGTTTAGAAAGAACAAAACTAAATGACAACATATGAAATTTTTCTCAATATATTGAATTTGCTCAAATGTTGTGAGTAGGTGTTTTCATTAATGAATTCCATGTAATCGATTGTAAGAAATTGCCTTGTTTTAATTAAAAAGCAAATTAATTACTAAACAGCGAGTATACTTACATGATTTAATTCTTAAGTTCAAGATCAAAGCAATGCTCTACAGTTTTTTTAAAGAAAGAAAAATTGACAAATTGTACACTGGACAACTAAACACAACAAACCGTAATTTAACTGGCACACTCATAAAAAAAGATTCACTATAAAAAAAGATTCACCTAGAGGTTTTATGAAAATAAATAAATGAGCATAAAAAAGACAATACAAAATTTTAAAACACTCTTTTTCTTAAACAACTTTGCAACATGTTCATAATAATGTGGATTTTGAATGGCAGTTTCCTGTTGCACTTTACGTTTTGACAAAATCCAGATATTGTATTTAAAATTCGGACTTTGATTTCAACCAGCCCATTTTTTTTTCCAGTTGATACCTTCAGTGCAGCGAGGTTGCTACCAAATTCAACTAGGATACAGGAAGATTACATCGAAAACTCAGAATCAAAATACACATTTGCAAACGTAGCCAAAATCATGGAAAACTTTGGAGCAGCTTTTTTGGCATTGGGCGCAGTCATTTGTGTAGCTGTAGGACTGGCCTGCATATTTTGTGCATGCTGCGTTGTATAAAATTATACTGTAAACTTAAGAGCCTGTTTTTCTTTAACAACTTAATTGTAACATACTCATGAGCAACTATTATGTGAAATACATTATGATGGAGAAAGCTATTTTATGTCATTTTTTGTACTTTTTATAATGTGTGTTTATATATGTTAAATAGGTATTAATTAAAGCTATTGGTTTTGTTAAGAATCTTTTTGTTCTTGTATTTTTTTATTCATTGGTATATTTTTTGAATATATTATGTGGTTTATGAATAGCCACAGTTAAAAATTATGAAGTGTAATAAACCATTACATTGAGTAAGTTTACAACAATTTTAGTATCCATTAAATTAGAAATATATTACTTGCACCTTTTTCAAATTGTTTAACTTTTGCAAAATATTGTTCTAATTTATTGTTTATTAAGATCACAATAAACTGCTGTATCCTATAAAAAAATAAAATTAAAAAAAAGGACATCGGGATGAAAATTTTTAACTTCCTTAAACATGTTTGAAATTTTGCATATTTACTGTAAAAGTGTATACTATTTAATATTTTAATAGAAAAGAATGCATTTTTTTTAATTGACCTGTTTATTTTATTACCAAGCTTATATCAACTTGCCTTCGTGTAGTCTGTTCGGGTGGAATTTTGTAATCGATTTTAAACTAACTTGCCCACTAGCTACAGACTTCAAATTTGGCACATAGTTCAGAATTGGATGACAAGGCATGAAAATGAAGAGAAAAGGGACATACAAAGTAAAATAAAATTAAAATTAAAGAAAAATTAATATTTTCGTGCTTGTCATTTGCTGTCGATTCGATTATTTCAAATTAGTGCCACATGTCAGTTGAAAAGTTTTGTGTACAGAGAGTGAAAAAATTGAGATTTTGGAAGTGAGTACAAAAAAAAAAAAATCAAAATAACATTTCTAAAAACCACGTTTTTGTAGTGGAGAATAATAATTAAAAAACAAAAATTTGAAAAACGAAAAACGTGGGGCGCATGAAATACATAACAGTACATATACACATACATATACACATTTTCTTACTCATACACATGCAGAATCACATACACATATACATCCACATACACATGCATATACATAAACATATTCCACATCCACATTCAGATACAATTACAGATATACATACACATATTCTCATGAGCACACATACTGTTACTGTTGTGTATTTCATGCTCCCCACGTTTTTCGTTTTTCAAATTTTTGTTTTTTAATTATTATTCTCCACTACAAAAACGTGGTTTTTAAAAATATTATTTTCATTTGATTTTTTTTAAATTTATAGAGTGATACTATATCTGTGTTAAGAGACTGTGCTAAAAATCTTTTGTTTCATGGTCTCGTATAGCTGAACAAGTAATTCTTCAAATATCTAAACTTGTATACATAATCTGAGAGCTATTATTGAGAGTTTTTGCCGGCAGAAAAGTTTTCACTAATCTTCGTTACAAAAGGTAAGCATTTTTAAATGAATTATTGTCTCATACGCAACGTTAAGTTACATTTACATCTCCGCATAAAAATCTCTTTGAGTGTAAGTTTTGATACTTTATACTCAGAAATAGTTTATTAAGATACTTTTAATTACAGAAACAAAAAAATATTAAATATTTCAGGAAAAATTTCTAGGAAACATTGTAGTAAATGACGTATGATTAAGAAAATAAATTAGAAGGTAAAAATTCTGTTAAAATGAAAACAAAAAAAAGTTTCTTTTCGTAATTATTTTTAAATATACAGGAATGATTTTGTTAATAACAAGTATACTAACTATTCCTTTTTTACCCATATTATTCTTTTTTACCATTCTTTTTCTTTAATACTATACTTTTGTTTATATTTTCGTTATTAAATTTAATAAAAAATTAAATTACATATTGCAAAAAATTTAGTTTATGAGAAAATTTAAAATTGCAATTGTTTTAAAATAATCTATATATTTTAATTAAGTAATAAAAATAATGAATATGCACTATTTCCTTTGTTTTGAAATATTTAATTTTTAAAAAAAAATAATTTATGAAATAATATATTTTTTAAAATTGAATAAAACATACTAAATAGTTATTCGCCTTTTTAAAACCGAAATTTAGAGATAAAACTCAAATTTCCAAGCTGGGATTTGAATCTCGGAAAACATAACCGTTGTGCCATGCATCCACGTGAAATAGTTTTGTTTAGTAACTAGTAAGTTTTGTTAGTTTAAAAAAAGGAAGCAGCGGCGAATTTTTATCATATCTAAGGTTTTCAACTATGTTCTTTAATTTAAGCTTAATTTCATTTCAATAGGAATTTTACAGATGCGTATTTTCCTTCTAAGCGGTATTATGAAGGTGTTCTAAAATTAACTCTAGATTTGCATTGACAGTATTACATTCTGATGAGGAATACTTATTGAAATTTCATACTCAAAAGTGATTGCAGCGATATTTATTATGAAAGTTGTGAGTTTTGTCTGTGTTTAGATTTTTAAATTAGAACTCAACCATATCCTGTACATGNCGTGTGCCCCCTTCGTCGCACGGAGAATATCAAGTCGATAGTCAATTTCACGCCAGGTAGCGGCAAGCATGTCGGCATCCACGGAGGCTACTGCGTTGTAATTCTGGCTTTTTGGTCATCAATGTTCGACACGATCCTTCTGTAAACATTGTGCTTTATAAATCCCCAAAGAACAAAGTCTAGCGGCGTTATATCAGGTGATCTGGGTGGCCAAGGAATTGGACCTCCTCGCCCAATCCATCTTCCTGTCTCATCAGTCATTGGTCTCATCAGTCCTATACTGAGACATGTTGGAAAACTTCGTATTTCCACAACTAGAAGAGCTTCAGCCACACGCCTTTTTGCAACAAGATGGTGCACCACCTCATTGGGGTATCATCTTTCGTAGTTCTTTGAATGACCATTTTCCAGGAAGATGGATTGGACGAGGAGGCCCAATTCCTTGGCCACCCAGATCACCTGATATAACGCCGCTAGACTTTTTTCTTTGGGGATTTATAAAGCACAATATTTACAGGAAGATCGTGTCGAACATTGATAACCTAAAAGCCAGAATTACAGCCGCAATAGCCTCCGTGGATGCCGACATGCTTGCCGCTACCTGGCGTGAAATTGACTATCGACTTGATATTCTCCATGCGACGAAGGGGGCACACGTCGAAGTTCATTGACAAGGGTCATGAAACTTTTTGTGTCTATCTAACCATTTATGTTATTAATTTTAATCCATCTTTATTATTTTATGAGTTATTGAACATCAAAATGGGTCCGGGACTTTATAAACACACTGTATTATATGGTTTATGAACAGCCGCAGTTCAAAATTATGAAGCGTAATGAATCATTATATTGAGCAAGTTTACAACAATTTTACTCTTCTTTTTTTAACACTATACTTTTGTTTATATTTTCGTTATTAAATTTAATAAAAAATTAAATTGCATATTACAAAAAATTTAGTTTAAAAGAAAATTTAAAATTGTAATTTTTTTGAAAATAATCTATATATTTTAATTACTTAATAAAAGTAATGAATATACATTATTTCCTTTGTTTTGAAAGATTTAATTTAAAAAAAAATTAATTTATGAAATAATATATTTTTTAAAATTGAATAAAACATACTAAATAGTTATTCGCCTTTTTAAAACCGAAATTTAGAGATAAAACTCAAATTTCCAAGCTGGGATTTGAATCTCGGAAAACATAACCGTTGTGCCATGCATCCACGTGAAATAGTTTTGTTTAGTAACTAGTAAGTTTTGTTAGTTTAAAAAAAGGAAGCAGCGGCGAATTTTTATCATATCTAAGGTTTTCAACTATGTTCTTTAATTTAAGCTTAATTTCATTTCAATAGGAATTTTACAGATGCGTATTTTCCTTCTAAGCGGTATTATGAAGGTGTTCTAAAATTAACTCTAGATTTGCATTGACAGTATTACATTCTGATGAGGAATACTTATTGAAATTTCATACTCAAAAGTGATTGCAGCGATATTTATTATGAAAGTTGTGAGTTTTGTCTGTGTTTAGATTTTTAAATTAGAACTCAACCATATCCTGTACATGTATGACTGTTAGCAGTATGCTCTTGAAAAATTATATTTTAAATATACGAATTTTTTTAAAATGTGATTTCTCCAATTCTATTCTATCGATTTCGTTCAAATTTTGCATTTTGTCAATTAAAATTACTTTCTTTAAATGGATGTCGAAATTTGTATACTTTGCATTTCAAGGTTTTATCGACTATTAATAAAGAAAATAATAATAATTAACTTTTTAAATTTTTTTTCTTTGCATGGAAATATCTGTGGATAAAGGAATTATAGTAAAATTACGGTTCCTAAATTTTCAACGGCTCTCGTGACCATATTATTGGGACTAGCCCTCATATTTTGAGAGTCAAAAATTCGATTTCGTTGAAAAAAGGTTATGTTTTTTGAGAGAAAGCATGCTCAGTACGTAACTTCGTCTGCAAAAACTTATTAACATTTTTAAGGTTTGGCCTTCGAATCATTAAGTCTTAATACGTGAAAATATGATCATAAGTTATTCAGTGTGCTCACTTTTTTATTGTGCGTATTTGTTACATTTGTATGCGTCTGCTAAGTTTCTATTTTTCCTGAAATATAAAATTGGTTGTTACAATACAGGATATTCAAAAATTCACTTAATAAAACACTGTTTTTAATTATTTGGATTAAAATTTGGTTCAAAAAGTATGCAGTATTAAGCTAGCTATGCATGGAGAAGCATCTCGGGAAAATGACCTCCACAGTTTTGCTAACCCATACCCACCCTCCAGACGATATTTTCAATGGCTATTTTGTTTAAATGTATGGCTGTATTTCATTTAAGCAGAGCTCAACTTACCCCTTTATGGCATGAGCGGTTAGAAATTGTTGGGATAAATCATAGGCTTTAAAAGCGAAGAAGTCTCCCCACTATTATCAAACAGCCAGGGAGTGAACAATGCTCAACATTAAAAACACGTTATTCTTTCATGTACCGGTTAGGGTCGTGGTGGCTCAGGGGATAGAGCGCTTGCCTCTCAATGAGGTGAACCGAATGCAAATCGCAGCGATGACTGGGTGATACGAATTCCGCACCCGGATAGAACCGACCACAGTACTGGCGTATTATAGCCTCAGTGGTAGGAGTTAGAGTCCCCTTGGAGTCTGGTTAACCCTGGGAGGTTATAGTGGTTTTCCTCTTCATGTAACTCAAATGTGGGTTAGTTCCATCAAAAAATCCTCCACAAAGGCGAATTTGTTCCAGTGCTTGTTGTGGCAGTTCCGTTGTCTTATGGATTGGTTTCAAAACTACAAGGCTAAGGAGTTGAACATTGGTAGCCGTAAAGTCAAAATTTGGGGCGGAAATTTGAACAAATTGTGCAAAATGTAAATTGAATCCATTTTTGGTACACTCTATATTTTGCTTGATCTGTCATATCAAGATCTGTCAAGAACTGTCTTAAATTATACATTTTTAGGTTATGGCACTTTCCTTTTATTAAAAATTACGAATACATAAGTATTTATTATTATTTTAATCATAATTAAAACTACACTTCTGCTGAGTTTAATGGTTTATACACTTAATACTGCTTTCTATCTACACTTGATACGAAAATACAGGCAACAACACTGTCTTTTGTACTTTAGTGGTTAATTGTTTAAGTCTGAATAAAAGAAAAGTTTCACTGAGTAGGTTTCTAATCCATAACTTCAGCCTGAAAAGAAAAGGAATACATCATTAAGAGAATCATGTAAATGAACAGAATGATTTTATACAGTGTTACGTAGAGTGTAATGACTACCCTACCTTAAAGTACATTTTCAAAATCCTTGACGAAAACAAAGTTTTTAGAATTGACATGTCGAGGTCACCAATTGATATTCAAGGGAGATAAGAAATAAAAACGCAATCGAAATATGACGAATCATTATCGAGATCAATCAAACTGAAGGTAAGATAAAAGGCTCGAAATCTGTTTATTCGTTGGTAAAAACTTGAAGGTGAAATTAAAAAAACAAAAATATTTCAGACACCTTTCCTACAAGTAAACTGGTATTCAGAAATATTTTGTCGCCTGTTCGTCAGGTTTCGAGTACGTTTTAATCAAATAGCTAACTTATGACCTCTAATGTGTAAGATCCAATGATTTAATTTTTTACAATAATTCTAAAAATATATATTGACACCGTGTAGGTGTTAATCAAATTAAATTTCTCTTCTGGCCGAGCTCGTTGTTATGTTAATCTGATATTGACTTAAAAAACGTATTATTACAAAAATATAGTGAAATTTAAATTACTTAATCCAGGCATTCGAAAAGAAATAACTTTATCAAAGAAACTGGTGTTGAAAACTAAAAAAAGAATAAAAATACTAGATTAAATGCATGCAATAAATTTAATAACGATATTGTATTTAATAATATTGATTTGGAATTAGGCACATTTTGGTATCGAAATTAGACACAATTTAATATTTAAATTAGGCACACTTCCGTATCGGAGTTAGGCACATTTTGGTATCGAAATTAGACACAATTTAACATTGAAATTAGGCACACTTCCGTATCGGAATTAGATACATTGAGGTACAATTCGATATTGAAATTAAGCATAATTTGGTATTGAAATTAGGCACAATTTGGTTTCGGAATTAGGTACGATTTAGTATCGGAATCAGGCACATTTCTGCATAAGAACAAGGCGCATTTTGGTATCGAAATTAGACACAATTTAACATTGAAATTAGGCACACTTCCGTATCGGAATTAGACACATTGAGGTACAATTCGATATTGAAATTAAGCATAATTTGTATTGAAATTAGGCACAATTTGGTTTCGGAATTAGGCACATTTTTGCATAAGAATTAGGCACATTTTGGTATCGAAATTAGACACAATCTAATATTGAACTTAGGCACACTTCCGTATCGGAATTAGACACATTTAGGTACAATTCGATATTGAAATTAAGCACAATTTGGTATTGAAATTAGGCACAATTTGGTTTCGGAATTAGGTACAATTTGGTGTCGGAATTAGGCACATTTCGGTATTGGAACTAAGCACGATTTGGTATTGGAGTCAGAAACATTTAGGTATCGGAATTAAGCACATTTCGATATCGGAATCAGGCGCATTTCGGTGCCTAATTCCAAATTGTTTGAGTAATAACTGCGATGACCATACTTTTGATCCCTAAAGTTTTTTTACGTAATGTGGAGTTGAAATTTCTAAACGGTAACAGGAAAATAAAATCGAAAATTACTATTTTTTTTATAGATATATGCTTATTAAATCGGCTTTAATTTGTTTAGTCATAAGCTGTAATAATTTTTCAGCACACTTATTTATCAAAAAATTATACCTCGAGAAACACAAAAGCAAGTTAAACAAAAATTTCGAGGCAAAATTTCGTAAGTCAAAATAATAATAGTGAAACAAAATAATAATAATGCTGAGAAGATAATTTTTTAGTTCTAAATTAAGAAATGTCTTTCCTGTTACAGCGATTAAATAAAAAAATATTAAATGGGGAATTTATCAAAGAATTTAATAAAGAAAACGAGAAAAAATAAAAGAAGTTGCGAAATACTTTCATTCCTTGTTATTCTCCATTTCTTCAGAAATTATACTTCTGTAATTGGTTTCCATAGTAACGCGAAATAAAGGGAATTATGTGGGATCAAGAGACAATATTTTGATAACTGAGGAATGTAATGCACTTCCTCGTGAGCAGTATGAAAACGCACTTTTTCTTAAAAACTATAATCATCCAACAGTGAAAAATACTTCGCAACTTTGGTTTCTTTTGAAGTGCTAGTTACTGAATTCTTTAACACCTCTTTTATTTCATCTCAGCTAAGAGGGCGAACATTTTTTTGATTTACATTATTTCGTGGTAATATTCTTTTCGTAGTAATATTATTTTCGAAGTAATATTATTTTGATTTTAGTAATTTCTATATTTTCTTTAAGAAATGATTACTATTTCACATAAGATTTAACATTTTTGCTCCATTTTTTAGGGATTCTCGAGGCTCTGTTTTTAATAAATAAGTGCAAAAAGAAATAAAATTCAATAACTTATGACCATGAACGATAATGTTTTGAGAGGACGCCATATCAAGGGAGAAACTTTTCAACGCAAATTCTGTTTCACGTCCATGAGTAATTTATAATTTACAGTATGAAAAAAAGTGAGTTAAGGCGAATCTAGAGCAAGCCATGAAATTCCAATTGCAGAACTGCTTTTTTTAAAATAATAAAATACAAACAAATTATTGAAACAGAATTTATGCATTGTGTAATCCTAAGTCATAATTTATTTTGAGATTTTGAAAATTTATTTTCGGTATTTGAAACTTTATGGCTAATTCTAGGTTTGCATATCACCTTTTATGTACCTTAAATTACTTGTGGAGGAGAAAAAGAATTTGCAATGAAAGATTTCTCTTATGGTTTCGCCCTTTTAAGGACGATAGCCATTAAAATGCTTTAATGATATGCTGTATAGAAATAACAATATACTTAAAACTTGGGGCCGGGATAGCCTGGTTGGTAGGGCACTGGGTCCATGTCCAAGAGGTAGTGGGTTCGATCCCCGCCAGCCGAAGACTACCCGTGTAGTAAAACATGACTGATGCATGTTAAATCTGGCGGATCACAAAGTCCTCCATGTTCCGATAACAAATCATACCTCTGGGGTACTGCTCCAGGAGTTTCCTTGTCTTCTAGATTGGTTCAAAATTACAAGGCTACGGAGTTGAACATTCGTAGTTGTAATCCCAAAATTGGGTCGGCTGTTTAACGAATGTCATAAAATAAAATAAAATGCACTTATAACTTGTAAAATTAATATATACTGGAAGCTACATATTTCAAACGCATCTCATTCATATGCTAAACACGCCAACGTCGTTGCCTTTATCAATGCTTTTAAATTAGCTTATTTCCAAGCGAAGGGGATTTCTTATCCAGACACCATTTTGTTATAGTTAATTAAAACAAAATAAATCGAACATTGCTAATAACCTACATATTAAGAATTTGTACTGTACTCTGTTGCAAGTTAAGGAAAAAACATTATCCATATGGAGAGAGCCTTTTTGCATCTAAGTGCACGCTAAATGGATGCCAAGCTCCCAGTGTTAACGATTATCAACGTCGCCAACTCTCGAAATAAAACGACGTTGCACAGCCTTCTTTTTTTTTTGCTTTCATAAATCGTGTGAAATGAGGAAAACAAAACTTATTGAATAATCAATTAACAAGTAATTATAATTAATACAATAAAAAATAAAAATCGTCACAAATATACGTCTTTCTGGTTCGCATTTAAAGAAATTGATGAAAGAATAATAAATATTGTTCCTTGCAGACGATTTTCTTTTACAGCGAAACAAAAGTAAAAATTCTTTATGTCGCATTTGATTTGTGTGTGTGTGTGTGTTTTTTCCATGATTGTTTTATCAATCGCCACAGATCGTTGTGTCATCGACATGTAGGGTGAGTAGCCATGATTTACTTAATAGTTAGTACAGATAATATTCACACTTACAAGAATNGCCAACTCTCGAAATAAAACGACGTTGCACAGCCTTCTTTTTTCTTGCTTTCATAAATCGTGTGAAATGAGGAAAACAAAACTTATTGAATAATCAATTAATAAATAATAATAATTAATACAATAAAAAATAAAAATCGTCACAAATATAGTTCTTTCTGGTTCGCATTTAAATAAATTGATGAAAGAATAATAAATATTGTTCTTTGCAGACGATTTTCTTTTGCAGCGAAACAAAAGTAAAAATTCTTTATGTCGCATTTGATTTGTGTGTGTGTGTGTTTTTTTTCCCATGATTGTTTTATCAATCGCCACAGATCGTTGTGTCATCGACATGTAGGGTGAGTAGCCATGATTTACTTAATAGTTAGTACAGATAATATTCACACTTACAAGAATGCTATTTCCTTATATTTTTTACATGCATCTCTCCTTATCATTATATTAATTGTTTTTGTTTATTGACTTATTTCTAAACTTTTGACCCAATGGACCTATTGGGTTATTCGGTGTTCAACAATGCTGGACCACCATTCGGCCTATTTTAACGCTATTTAATGTATAATATTTAACCTTACTCTATTCATTTAAATATTAATTTGTTTTAATTCCTTATGCATTCTTGTGGGTTTGACTTGCCACATACACAATTTTTATGGTTTTTCTTAGATCTCATGTACTGAAATTGTGAATCAATTGTCTCTCTTGTACGAGTATTAGGCATTAATTTTCATTAGTTATTTAAGATTAACCTTATTTTTAATCTTAACATTTATTAATTGTTTCAATTTCATAACTTGATTATTTCAATGTTTAATTCCTTTAAACTTTAACTAACTTACAATACTTAAACTTTAAGAACCGCAATCTGGGAAATATGGTTCCAATAGTTTGGTTGGAAAAGCGGTTCAAAGTTTGGACTCCTTCATGTAAATTTTACTTTTTTGGATATTTCGCCATATCTCGAGAACTTTTTAAGCCAATGGAAACTTTTTTAAACACCGTAATAAAATTCGTTTATTCAGAGATAGTTCCAAGAAAAAATATTTCGTAATAAATATTTATTATTTTTTCTTATTTTATTTAATAATAGTCGAAGAAATTTTAGATTGTGAGGTATATATTTTATTTCAGCGGTTATTTATGA